CGGCCGTGTGTGTCGATCGTGGGGGATGCGGCGAATTTGCCTAATGCGGACAGTCGTCATGCCTTCACTATACATAGCCGCTAACAAACATCAGGCCATGTTAATACCGGAGCGGATATGCACACTGTCGCTAGTATCGACAGCTGCACAACTGTTCCGAACAACTGTACGTAGCACTACATCACACGCCCTTCGTCTACTCACACCCCCAGGGTTTCCTCGAAAATCTCATTAACCGCGCCAACCTCTTCATCCCGAAGTCACTCGATGCCCAAATCGAAGGCGTGAAAAAGAATCTCTACACTCAACAATGGCTCGACTCGCACGACACGCTCGAACCCGTCGTTCAAGCCTTCCCTACAAACGGCGACCGCTTCGCCGCCAACGAACTCTGGAAACGGCAACACCCCCAATACTTCGGCAAGGCGGGCTTCATGCTACAAGCCATTGCCGCGGGGTGGCATCACAAGAGTCCCGAGCAACTCCAGCAGATTGCGACGACGGTCGGCAAGAACAGAATCATGGTTGTGCATGGTACTAAGGATCGCATGCTGACGTTCCCATTGGGCGTTGTGCTGTGGCGTGGATTGGAGAAAGGCGAGGGTGTGACGGGTAAAGAGAATTGGTTGGGTGTTGAAGAGGAAGATGATGTTTGGCAAGAAGGTGAGATTGAGAAGCATTTTATCAAGGGTCAGGGACATGTGTTGCCTGCGGAGATGAGAGAAGAATTTAATGGATGGATTGAAGGGCTGGTAGAGAGGGGGATTAGGCTGAATCAAGAGGATGGTTTGTAGATGCAGTGCAAGATACTGTTGTTGCATCATCTGTCGTCCCGGTAATGCATACAATCGTCATCCGCCCTACCATTTTCTCGTGATTCCACTCGATTAAGTTGCCCAATCCTTCAGAATAAATGCTATCGCGACCCACAAACCACCGGCAATACCATAAACAACGATATAAAACATACTTGAATGACATTTGATCTATTATGCCGCATGCCGTACATCCCGACCAGGACCTCGGCACATAAATGGCTGGGCGGGGTACGCCGACATCACGACCCGGCATCACCACTCCATTGTATCTCTTCCATCAACATAATAATTTAGAAGCACATGTAGCAACCGAATTGCCAAAATCTAATCAAGCAGATATGGCGTCTCCCACTAACCATCCACCGGTCATCTTGTTCGGCTATGACTGTAAACACGCTCCCGTCTCTCCCATAGTTTGCCCAAACTGACCATAGTACAGCAAGCCCCTTCACAAACAAAGTCCGCCTAGCCCTCCGTATCAAACAAATCCCCTTCTGTAAGCCAGCACCATTTCAATCATCTATCAAACCATACCTAGGTACAGATCTCGACAAATCGGCTAGTCACTAACCCCACACCCCCCAACATCTAGCATACATCCCCGTCCCCTCCATGCTCCCCCGCCCCCTCATAACCTCAACATTCGGCCTGCAGTACCGCCGCATCCCCATCCTAGCAATCGGACGACACATCTACTGCGATACCTCGCTCATCATCGAAGCTTTGGAGCACTTTTTCCCTGCAGATCAGGGTTGGGGTACTGTGTATCCGGAAGCGCAGGGTTTAGGAGTTGGAGAGTGGGCGTATAGGGCGATGGCGAGGGGGTTTGCGGGGTTTTGGACGGATGTAAGTATGCTGATATTGCTTTGGAGAGGGGAAAGGGAAATGTGTGGGAGGTGTGGTCCCCGTATGCTGATTTAACAACAGAAACCGTTATTCAGAACGACCACAGGTTTCATCCCCCCCTCCGTCTGGTCCTCAGACTTCGGTAAAGATCGCGCGCAGCTAATCGGGCACCCTATCCAGCCCGAAAAACTGCAAGCCAAGATCCCAGACAACCTCTCGCTTCTGGACATGCACCTTTCGATGCTGGAACCGATGTTTACGTCTGGCACATGGGCGATGCCGACGCAGACGCCTAGTTTGGCGGATTTGAGTTTGTACTACCAGTTGGGGTGGGGTATGGATATCGGTGCTGGGAGGGGGATTGGGGATTTGAGTGGGGGTGGGGCGAGGGATACGGATGGGGAGGAGGATGTCGTGGGGGTGGTGTTTAATGGGGAGAGGTATCCGGGGTTGATGAGGTGGTTTGGGGCGTTTGAGAAGTATGTAGAAGGGCTGCCTGATACGCAAGTAACGGTGAAGAGAGGCGATATGCAGTGGAAGGATGAGCTTCGACGGACGCCTTTGCTGGAAGATGATGAGCTGCTGGTTCCTACGGCGGTTTCGCCACATGAAGTGCTGGATGCTCGGAGAGGGATGGTACCGGGGGCGAGTGTGAGTGTTGTGCCAGATGACACTGGACGCGGTAACCCTACGAAAGGCACACTGGTCAAGATTGGAAGTGAAGAGGTCGTGATCAAGCCGGACGAGAAAGCTGAGTTGGATGTTAGAATCCATTTCCCGCGCCTGGGGTTCATTGTAAAGGTTCCAAAGGGAAGTAAAATGTAATGAGTCTGCCGACACTGGTGTCAGGAAGCTGTAGTAGTAACTTTGCGATGGCTGCATCTGAAGCCTCAGATTATAGTAAAATAGATAACCTACATCAATGACCGGCAGATCAGGCCTTTGTGACATTTTCGTATCGTTCATCTTAAAATAATCGAAAGCATGATGCGGACGAAGAGAGCTATTAAATTCCATGACGTCGATACTGGAATGCGGATGTTTTATACAGATCTCAGTATACTGGCGATGATAACTTTCCAGATGTTCGCATCATGTGGTGTGTTTTCAGCAGACTAGGTTTTGAATATCGTGCCATTAACCAAGGATAAGAAGACCTACACTATGAAGTTGTTCGGGCTATGATGAACACCTGTCTTTGATCTTAGATTGCCCCATTCGCCTTGAGGACACCAATGGGCAGGCTGATTGCAAATACCACCATGACAAAGCAAATGAATGTCGCTATGCCGTTCCTTGACAAAGAAGGCTTCGTCTCAATGTAGAGACCCCAGCCTGTAACGTCACTTCCTGGAATTGCCTTGAGTTGCCCCGGGAGTCTGCGTTTCGGAAGCTGATCAAGGACCGTTCTTTGACCAGCTGCAATAGCGTCAGGATAGAGCAAGTCTTGCCTCAGCATGTTGGGACCAAGAACTGGCATCACCCGCCGATTTCGAGATCCTGGAGCTGGGGAGCAAATGTATTCTTTGTCGTTCCCAACCATATTCTCCGGTGGAAGACAGATACAGTAGAATCCAGAATCTGGATGGTAACGCCCGTTGGTTAAGACTTTACACGCACTTTCATGTGTATAGACCACAGTGTTGTTATTGTAATCGACCGTGAACTGAAAGATAGTTAACGCAAATAAAACCTTGTATGTGCTCAGAACCTACCTTGGCCAGAGTGATACTCTTGAGGTTTCTCCAAGTTACCCAATATTGTCGGACCGAAAGCCGCTCTCGAAGGTGATGGAATAGTTGACGATCGTCCCTAATGTCTTGCAGATCCTCCTGCGTCAACTTCAGCGTCGTTTCATGGTTCAAACAGACCAGCAGACCAAGATGCTCCCGCCCTGGAACTCCAGATTCACGTGCAAACGCTGCCGTAGTATGAACTGGGCGGGGTACACCGGAACGAGTCTGCAACTCGCACTCTCCCCGTTCGGCCTCCGAGTCTGTCATTTTCCCATCTCCACCCTGCCGACTTGATGTGCGCAGTATCTGTGCGAAGATCCGAGGCGCCTCCTTCGTGTGAGTCTTGTATCGTGTTTGCAGCTCTCGTTCAAGCTCCTTTACAGCGCCATGGTCTATGTCCACGTAGTAGTCGTACATGCGCTTATCACGCTAATATGAATGTCAGCGTATTGTAACAAGAACCGCGAGATAAACTTACGGATTCCCAATACACAGCGACTGCCTTTCTAGGCGCTGTTGGTTCGGTTGTCTCTTGGTCCGGTTCAAACAGAACTAAGTTACTCCTCGAGATGTTTGGTGAATTGGAAGTACCTGGAGATTCCTGGAGAATCGGTGTTACATGATCTTTCACGTTGAACGAAGCGTAGTCTCGAACTTCGACATTTGCGATATCACTGTTGATACCTCTAAGTCCCCGGGTAAAGTCTCGATTTCGAGTGATGAACAGGATTGACCCGTTGGGCGATATTGGAAGAAAATTGGAGAGTTGTTGCACGGATGAAATCGGATCCGCTGTTGCGTGATTTCGCGATATGCGTGAGACGAAGAAGGTGTCGGCATCTTCAGCGTTGTCAACCACCATTGTCCATTGCCCGTTTGCGATATCGCATAGCCATCTATGCACGATTTGACATATGTCGACAGAAGGGTCATTCCAGTGATTTATCTTCGCCGCCGCGGCGATTGCATTAAAACCTTCTCTGAAACTTGCGCGCGTCTCTGCGTTGATCCAAAAAACCCATTTCGTTGGCGTCTGGTTTCGGACTCGGTAGGCGTACTCGATAGCGACTCGGGTCTTCCTGAAAGCCAAATTAGCGCCCTGTCACTACTTAAACACGGCGGAACGTACCCAACGCCCGCGGGCCCAATCAGGGATGCCCAGTTAGCATTCTGGGAGCATATCTGATACACCTTCTCCAAGCAATCGCCATGGTGGAATTCGTTTTCGCGGCGAAAAGGAACCGTCCATCGAGGCAGTTTGTTGTGTAGCGATCGCTCAGCTTCATCACGCAACCGCGTCAATGCTCTTGCGGATCCCTCACCGTATATTAGCGGCATGTAGACGCCACACAAACCCAATAGAGAATATGCTGAATCTTCTTCTCTCTTCGTCTGGCGTCCCTCGATCCATGATATGCGATCGTCGATGCTGAAATCTTCTAGTGAACCTCTCTGAAGTGCCAGGACAGGTATCCGGGTTCGAAGGTGGAGAGCCTGTAGCATTGTGACCTTGTCCCCTAGTGGTTTTCCTGTCTTCGAGAAGAATTCAACCACTCGTGGCGCAAGCATCTCTTGCAGTGTCCAACCTCGCTGAAACCATCTACTGCTGTGGAATATTTGGACCCATTGTTGTTGAGATATGTCTTCGACCGGTACATCGATCTCCACGTCTGAGAGTAGGACATAGCACTTCTCCGCCTGCTGATACCATTTGAACATGGAATTGATGGCCTCGGTCAATTCAGCGCTACTGCTCTTGTCAATGCAGCATGTGTCCACCCAAAAGAACTCTAGCTTGTCGCTAATAGCGCGCTCAGAACAGAAGACGAGCTTGTCATAACCAGGAATAGCCTTAGCTTTCTCGTCTCTCAGATCAGAGAATGTGACTTCATCTTCGTTCGAACCCCAAGTGTGCGATAGGATTGCGTAGGGCGGGACTTCCTCCTTGAATCGCTCAACAAGGCTGAAGCCGACGGAGTCAGACGAACGTTGTAGGAGGCGCATGGCGTACTAACGTGGGAGGGCGCAGAGAAAGTTACGCCGATGGAACTGGGTGCCGCATTTGAACGAAATGAGGTGTTCATGTGATACTGCCGCCTGGAGAGGTGGATTGAAATCGTCTAAAAAGACCAACAAGGCTGGATATAATCGTTTCGCTGCGGTCAGACAGCCTGAAAAAGAAGGCCTCAAGCCTACCTGACACAGCCACCCCCTTATGATTGCAGACGTATCTGTCTGCCTGTTGCAAGGCTTTCAACACAAGGCTATGCTGCGCAAACCATGTTTTGTGGCTAACAGAGCGACGCACTGTCTCCAAATCGTCATAGTGACACGCCAGCGTGGGATAGAGTCAGTAAAGAGCTAGTTCGAGGGGGCGTGGGTTAAAAAAGCCAGTGGTATCGCAAGGTGCGTAGTGACCACGCGGCTCAGCTCAACGCACGGACCCCAGACCTCTTTAACCCGTAAGCTGCAGATCTTACTGGAGAAGTGTTCTTTGGGTTGGTTGTGTCTGCATGGTATGATCATCTGTTCGAGGCAAGCAAATTGCCAGACGCCTGGAACAATGCATCATGGTACTGCATATTGGAGTGATGTCAGGCTCAGCCATTGACCTGGCAAACGCCACGAAGCCATCATAACCTGTGAGTCGCTCTCTTTATTATTCGTTCATAAAATGGAACTTCTCAGAGATCTCAAGCCAATCTAACAGCGTTAGCTTGTCAGCCTTGGGTGGTAAAGAACAGCCCATGAAGCCACAAGGCTGTCGTGCATGCAGCATCTTCGCATCGGTGCACGCGTCGTCATTCGATGCTGCAAGGCTGTGCGACGTGAAGGTTTGCGCTAGTGGGGGCTCGAGCGGTGTGACGTATGTTCATTCGGGTGTTGGGATTAAAAGAACTCGCGCTGCACCAGTACGCAATCGATCAGGATGGAGGTCGTGGTTGAAGAAAGTAGCATGGCACGGATTAGTGGCTGCGGCAGCCCGGGCGTGACCTGGGGCCGTGTCCCGAACAGGCTTAGCGCGTCAGTGCGCGATCACGTGGACACCATTGGAAGAACCCACATGGGCACTTTTGGACGCGTCCATCCCATAGTGCATGCGATGCTCCCCAGCAGTGTCGTGATTAGAGTAATGTTGGATACATAAGGTATCTCAGTGCAATGCACATAATGCATCGTGGTGTGTCAAGACGAATAAGAAAACTCAAGTACATGCTGCATCAATATACACGCGACAACGAGCTTTTGGTGTTGAAACATGCTTTTGCTGTGGTATCGAAATCATGTCCGTAATCTACCATAATGTGAGACGCCAAACTCCATGACTATGTCGGAAGATCGTTTAATGACTGTCGAAATCGTACTGTCATATCGCGGAAGATACCATCTGTACCCTAGACGCAGTCCTACTCGTCGACATCCATAGCCTCAACACCACCACCAACCTTCCTCTTCAACATCTTCTTCGTCTTGGTCTTCTGCTTGGGCAACTCCTCCTCAAGCTCACTGAGCTCGCTCTCCTCAGCCTCAAGCTCCTTCCTCCTAGCCGCGACCTTCTCCTTAACCTTCTGCACATCAACCTCCATCTCCTCCTGCTCAACCTCCTCCTTGGCGAACCTCTCGCTCGGCGGCAGCAAGTGCTGGTTCTCCTCAACCAACTTCCTGTCCTCCTCACGCTGCCTCTGCTTGTTGCCACGCATGCGCGCCTTGTAGAAAGCGCGCTCTCTCCTCTGCCGGATCTCGGATACACGGCCCATGGCCTTGAGGGTGGTCTGGATGAGGTCGCGGTTGTATCGCACGGGCACGTTGCGGCGCTGGGCGAAGGTGAGGGTCGAGTCGACGGTCATTTCCTTGTTGTGCGCGCGGCGGAAGGATTTGGTCCAGGCCAGCTTGCGGGGGTTGCGCTTCATTTTGAAGTTCTTGTGGCATTTGCTCTTGCAGAAGCGGAAGGCCTTTGCATCGTTGCGCACTGATGAGTCAGCAAGGATTTCTTTGAGGTGTGATTAATTATGCATACCAAAGGTTATACCCTTGGACGGGTACACCGGCGAAGAGCAGAAGTAGCAAGTCTCGATTCTCATCTTATCGTCGTGGCGCGAATGCGATCGCGCTCGTTCTTATCGTGGTTAGGTATGCGCCTTTTCGCGTCGCAGTAGTCGTCAGCACGGGCTGAGATCGGGATATATAAGGATCGACCACGCTTCACAGTGTTGGCGGTGGTGAGGCGGGTGTCGTGTAAAGGTGTGGAGGTTGAGGTTCGAGAAGTTCGCCGGCTCGAAATTTTGGGTGGCCCGTGCATGCCAACCCACCTGCCATTCCGGCCCGCCAATTGCGATGCTTCTCGACCGAGGCACCTCCGCAAATTTCCTTCTGACCACCTCGCCGCCGCCATTCATCTAAGCATCGCCATCTGACGTATTCTCCCGCCCACCTCACGTCGCGACCTTATACTGCCCGTATACCGGAATTCCGAAACCGAACAGTTGAGCCCAGATAGTGCGACGAGATGTCTGCCTGGGTTTGGATCTTGGGCGCCGGTGCCACTGCTTTCTTCGTACGGCTTCCAATTCTCTTAGTCATGTTTCCGGGGAGACTGCATTGGGAACTGCGGGAATATGATAATACACGAGGAAGATGTACTGACAGGTTTGAATAGGGTCGCGCAGCACTTGTGGCATTACGGAGATCTGGCGGTGGAGCCGGAGCACTAGGACGTGGATACTACAAAGGCGGCTTTGAGCCCAAGATGACACGGAGAGAAGCTGCACTTATATTAGAGATGCCGTAAGTCCAACGAATCTTCATATATGCCTTATGGAACCAGAGGACTGACTATTTCTAGCGAACGCGGCATTACCAAAGAATTATTACGAAAGAAGCACCGATCGCTTATGCTTCTCAACCATCCCGATCGCGGCGGTAGCCCCTACCTTGCCACCAAGGTCAACGAAGCGAAGGAACTACTCGAGAAGGAGGTCAAGGGATAATCCGATGGGCAAGAGGTGGATGATGTGTATACCAAGACTTTGTACTATATCACGGCATGATTCTCAGCATCAGCATGGCGTTGGACTGAATATGATTAGCGATTTACGACTCTCAATATGGTTCTGTTCTGTTCATGTTGTATGATTTCGGCTATACCAACTTCCCTGACGGTGATAGCCAGGCATAGACCTCCACAGTTTCCATCGCCCACATCTGCAGAATGCTTTCCTAGGTGCATAGGAAAGAGTCATTGTTCGCTTACATTTGGCCGTTCTGATAGACCCGCAGGCACACATGCAAACACTAGGACAATTCCGGCCGAGGCTGTTGACTATGACCTTGCCTCATCGAATTGCAACCGGGTGGCTGTGAGGTCGCTTGTTATTGCTTCAAAGGCATACATCTCTGCCGTGTTCAATGCAGGAATGCCTCAATCCAGCCTAGTTCGTAGGCAAGAGCCCGGCCTGTCAGTCCAGCCTTGTGCCATAGAAGAGGGGTATAAGATCGTTGCTCAGCCTTCCGACGTTCTTTTTCCTTCTTATCGACGACACTGTAACCAGTCAGTGAACCCGAAGAACCCAGAAAACCATTTTGATCACGACCATCACCTAGTCAATCAGGCACTAAACGCCCATCATGTCCGGCGACGAGGATAACTACAAACAGCATCAAAACAACTGGGAGGCCAAGCGAGACGAAGGCTATACTGACGAGGACGAGTGGATGAAGAATGAGCAAGCCAACAATGAAGAGATGCTTGCTGAAATGGAAGCGTAAGCCACCTACACTCTCATTTACCACGACATCCTTTGATGAGCCACCACCATCCAGCTCTACTATAAAATTACCTATTAGACCACAACATTTTCACGGGAACCGAGGCTGACAGCAAAGTAGCGAACGCAGGGGTCGCGAAGAGGCGCGCGATGAATACGGCGACGATGCTGACGAGGGGCACGATGACCGCATCGAGAAACTCAAAGACACGGAGCAAACAGTGCGAAACAGGATCGCATATCTGAAGGGTGAATACACGTACGATCACGAGCAAGGTTCGGAGTCTGAGCCAGAAGCGGGATCTGGGGATGAGCAAGAACAAGAGCCTGCGGTAGAGGAATCTTCGGATATGGAACTTGATTCGGATAGTGATTAGGATGAGAGATGCTTGGAGGGGATAAACTCATTCTCTACAAGGCAAAAAATGAAGCAGGTTTGCAGACTACATCGGAACAAAAACTTGCAAAATAGGTGACCTAACGTCAACGTCGGCTCTAGAGTGTTCTGCGTTTTCCTAGATTGGCATGAACAACTCAATCACGGTACCTTCTCGCATGCGAATCGCATATAATGAGGAAGCCGGGGGTAGCTCGTCATGTGATTGAGTGCTGGAGAATGTGCAGAAGTCTTGATACTCGAGCCAAATTTCGAAAGCATTCATGATAGTCTGATTTGGCAATGCAACTAAGTAAGCACTGGTGTCGTTTGATATTATATACAAAGCGCAAAGAAACACCTTAATCATTACCACCGCAACCGTTCGTCCACCCTTGCGCTGCCTTAACAATCTTGTTATTGGCCCAACAGCGCGCGCGAACCCAGAGTGGCGTACTGAAGGTAGCATACCATTCGAAGTTCTCATGCTCAGCTGGTTTGTCATGATACACAAACTTCCAGAGCGTCGTGCCAAGTCCATAGCAGTTGTCCATGTTGGGCCGAAGGGTCTCTTTGCCGTGATCCCATGTGGAGAAGCCGGTACCTTGGACCTTATATCGGCTGTGAAACCCCTTGTACCAGCCTTCGCAGCGGCCGTAAGGCGCCTTTGGCGGTGGCCAGATGCGATTGGCACGGCGAGGGTTGAGCTCATATTTGTAGTCTCCACCACCGCGAATGTACCGGCCGCCACCTTTCCAGCTCATGGGATTGTCTTCTGTATCGCACGCGTTGATAATGTGCTCCATCGAGTCGATACATTCGTCTTTGTCGAATGCCGAAACCCCATTGCCAAGGGTGACGGTAAAGTCGTACTCTTCAGGTGTGCCTACGTCGTAGCTCTTGGAGAAGCTCCAGTTGACCTTGTTCTTGTCGTGATTTTCGTCGACGTCCTTGCAAAACTCCTCATACTTCTCATTGGTGCGGTTTCCACTGACGTAGAACTTACTACCGGTATCTGAGTAACAAGTGAACTCGTTCGTGACGGCGTTGCATGCTGGAGAATCGACGCCCAGGACAATTGATCGCAGGTCCATGAGTTCAGCGAGGGCAAAGGACGCGATGGTCAGGTGACCAGCTTCATTGGGATGGAACTGCGGCAGTCAGCAAAAGAACATTGGAAAAGCGTGCGCATACGCGAGGGGTACCTACATTTTGAGCAACGTGATCGGGCATGCCCATGCCGAACGTCCAGTCAAAGCCGCCATCCCCGGGGCAGTCTGGTGGCGCGGGTGCCCGGGAGTCGAGCTTGTGTCTGACGGCAGCACGTGGGTCAGGTGATTTATAGAGAATAGAGTCGTAGAGTGTGCGTTCCAGACTGCGGTCACGAGCCTCCATCATGGCCTTGACACGATTCAGTCTGCGTTTCTCCGAATTAGACAGCCTTGTCGAGTTCAGCATCTCTTCGAGACCCATATCACGCTTTCGTAGCTCTGACCGCTCGAAATCGTCGGTCCACTCATCCCAGGGGTGCGTGTCTGGCTTGATGAAGTGCATGTCCGGCTGCTTGGCGTCTGGATAGTCGCCGTTGCTGCTCGGCGAGCACATTCGGCCGTCCACCACCGTCGAGACCCAGACGTCCCAGTCGGCGTAGCCAACCTTGTACTTGATATCTTCACTCTCGGCGGCTTTATCGACCGCGTCGCGGATGGCTTGGTTGATGTCAAGCACCAGCTGATTGAAGACGTGGCGACGTTCGATGGTGAGAGCCCGGTATGAGGCACCTAATGGGAGGAACCACCAGAGATCCCACGACTGGCGATCGCAATTGTCCTTCTGCGTGTCAAAGAATTGAGCATAGCTGTTCACGACGACGATGCCGTCATCGTTCATCTTCTCGTTGAGGGCTTCCAGAATCTGATAGATGTTGTCCGTGATGATATTCTTGACATTGTCTTGGGCCTTTGCGATGACGGTCTCGCAGGCGGATGTCTTGCCGTAGGGTAGCATGATGCAATCCGCGATCATCTTGGACAGGCAAAGGTCGTTTCCACCAGAGGTAAAGGTGACGAAATCGAGCTTGCCCTCCAGGGCCTGTGCCTGCTGGTAAATCTGTTCCGAACGATCGCCGCTGCAGGCGAGGTACTGGAAGCCGCCGTCCGATTCGATATGGGCGCCGAACTGCGCTTCTATGACCTTGGGGTACGACATGTCGTATCTGGCACACCTCCAATTGTCGCGAACTTCTGACAGACCATCGGGCTCTATTATAGCTACCTCATCGGCAGTAATCCTGTGACCAAGGGATCTTCCGGCGCCGATACCTGCCGTATAGCTATCACCAATGGCCGCCCAGCGCTTGATCCATTCCATGCTTTTTGGATCGCTATCCCGCTTGTGAAGAGTTGATGAAGCGAACGAAGAAGTATTGGCTGACAAGACTTGTGCTGAATGTTGTTGTGTTGCTCCTCGATTGCCATGCCTTTCATGATGCGCATGGTGTGAGCCATGACCTCTCGTCATGCCGGATAGGAGCGAAACGCCAACAATTAAGTTGGATATCATCATGGTGACCATAGCTGGAATGGGAAAAGCGTCATGAATGGTGCAAGTGCAAGAAGCAGAGTGCGTATGACCAACAATACGAACAATCGAAACAGGCTATAAGACCATGAAGAAGACGACGAAGAGTCGGAAGAGACGGGGAACGGAAGAGCCTCAGGAAGGTAATGGTCTCATGTCAGGGAGTTGCGATGCCCCTTTGCCACCCGGACGCAACTCCAGATTACTTACCTAGGTAGCCAAGACCGGCTCATGTAGTCTCTTACAGGTTGAAGATTAGACCTAAATAGATCAGGCAGGTGGCAATTGTGCGCGATACCAACTCATGGGATTGTGAAGGGGTATCCGCTTAACTGAGATCAGCATTCTGCCCAGGTGGCCTCAGATAGGAAGCGATCCTACATATCCACATCACCGGTGATTCGAGCTGGCAACCGAGGGGTATGCGGCAAGGGCGTACCTGCATCGACGTACATTGAAGTCACATTGGAGTGTACCCGCTAAGGCTAAAGCACTGGCTGCCCAACTGTGCTCGGCGGCTAATGGTACCTGGGAAACGCCAAGCTAAGCGGCGTCCCGGCTTGGCAGGGTCCTCCTCGGCCCACCTGGCAAAACTCAACCTCATCCTTCGTGCGTCTTGGCGTATGAATCCTACCGGAGCAGACACTACGGCAACATGCAGTTGTTATTGAATCGACCCTTGCTAACGTACGAGTGTTGCAGTGTCATTGTTAGGTCACCCCCCCTGGTCGATGTATTTGTCAGGCAAGAACGGGGCGGGTAATCGCTCTGCTCCATGCTTGACCGTCTTCCAGTCGTGAAGCTCTCGTGTAAATCGCTATCATTGCGTTATCAGTCAGCATACTCTCACAGCCGTGCGATCTGACTACGTCCAACTCACGACTTCTCAACTTTTGTTCAGACACCCATCGCCGCTTGTCATGGCGTATCAAGGTGCCTCGGTCTGGCGCTTGAGCATCAGTTTGGGCCTCTTCTTGACTGCAGGGGCACTTGATCTGAGCTCTTTCGCTGGGCAGGCGAAGAACAGAGTACTCATGGAGAATGTCGCTGGCCGGGAATACACACCGCAGGCTAGAGAGATGCTCATCGAGGCGAACGAAAGTCCACCCGACTACACGTGCACCGCAACGAAGCCATGCGATCTTGGATGTTGCGGACCTCTGTAAGCTGAAGCTTTTGCTATGAATGATTGGTCATGGTGTTAATCAGACGCTCTAGCGATGACACCGGCACCGGTGCTTGTGGCTTTGGCCCTGTCTTTTGCGGCCCTAAATGCACGAGCGACTGTGAACGCAAGTCCGAGTGTGATGGCGATGATTGGGGTTCTCAGTATGCGAACCTAAGTACCTGTCCGCTCAACGTCTGTTGTAGCAAGCATGGCTTCTGCGGCACGACAGTTGACTTCTGTGGCCCCGATCCTGTCCCGCATCCCCAATGTGATATATCACAGCGTACCGCTGACGCGCGCACCATCGGGTATTACGAAGGTTGGAACTATCAACGCCCCTGCGGTAACATGGAGCCAGAGGACATTCCCTTAGGTTACTGGACGCACATCAACTTTGCCTTCGCTCTCATCAACCCTAATACATTTGGTATCGAAGATATGGACCCCGGCACCGGTTCGCGCTATACTCGCGTCGCGGGTCTCAAGGAGAAGCAGCCCGATCTCAAGGTCTGGATCGCCGTCGGAGGATGGGCCATGAACGATCCCGGCCCGTACCGCACCGCGTTTTCTGACATGGCCGCCAGCGAGGCCAAGCAAGACAAGTTCTTTGACTCACTGTTGACCTTCATGAGGCGGTATAACCTAGATGGTGTTGATCTAGACTGGGAATAGTAGGTGGACAAATCCTGTTCATATCGTGCACATCAGCTGACGTACACGTTTCAGTCCCGTGGCAGAAGACCGAGGTGGCATACCTGCCGACTTCGATAACTATGTTAACCTGCTAAGACGACTTCGTGAGCGCTTGAACTCGTCCGGTAAATCATACGGTATTAGCCTGACCCTGGTAAGTAGCTGGCTCTATCTTTACTGTACCGATAAGTTGATTGATCATGACTGACTTCGCTAGCCTGCCTCTTACTGGTACCTTCGCGGCTTCAATCTCCAAGGAATGGAGCCCTATCTTGACTGGTTCAATATGATGACGTACGACATTCACGGCGTCTGGGACGCCAGTATCGACAGCCTCGGCCCCATCGCCCAAGCGCACACCAATCTGACCGAGATCAAGATGGGACTTGAGCTTCTGTGGCGTAACAACATCAATCCAGCGCGCGTCGTCCTTGGCCTTGGGTTCTACGGTCGTAGTTTCACCATGAAAGACCCTGGATGTATGACGGCTGGCTGCGAGTTCTCTGAAGGCGCCAACGGTGGCGCGTGTACTGGCACCCCCGGTGTGCTGTCGGCTGCCGAAATCAACGAGGTCATCGCCAATGGTGCTAGTGTCACTCACGATGAGGCAGCCGCTGTCAAGATCGTCACCTGGGATTCGAACCAGTGGGTGTCATTTGACGATACGCAGACCTTGCGGTCGAAGATCGATTTCGCGCATGAGCATTGCTTGGGTGGGTAAGTACAATCTATGATCTTGATATACACACCTATGAAACATCTTTCGCTAACTGGCCGTCAGCACCATGGTCTGGGCTATCGATCTCGATGACGGCACACTTACCGAAGCGCTCGGTGAAAACATCGCGCGACGCAAGCTACCCACATACAAGCCCATTCAGGTCGCTGAATGCGGTGCAAGACCAGAATTGTAGATACGAAGATGGCTGTGTGCACAGCATCAGGCGCCATGTGGCAATGTTTGCGGAACGTGAAACAAGAATAGACGATGTTCTTTGCAATTCTCTATACACATGACGCAAGCAGTGGACGCATCCTATGAATATATTTAACATGCTTCTAACAGTCTCATACCTTTCTACTGTAACTCAGGAACGTCGCTGTCGCACATTCATGTCTTGTCGCATGCGTATTAGGGTTTCAATGAGTCTGTGTGAGATTTGCATGAAACTAAGAGTACATTGATAACACTAATAACGATCAGAGGCGGAAATAAGGCCCAGAAGTAAGTATGTATCTTCACTTCTTGCACATTCCATTCTTGGTGTCGCCAGCCCGTTTGAAAAGCTCGTTGAAACTCCTGGCCTTCTTGAGCTTGCTCAAAAAATCGCTTGATCCTGAGGTATGCGGAACTTCCAGCGTGGATGGTGCTGGTTCTCCATAAAGCACGATCAGACGCTCATAATCCATGGGGCTGGGCCGGAAGCGTGGCTTGATTTCACTTCCGTCATTGTACGTCATAACAAGCTCGCGGTCGTCTCCCCCTGCTCCTTTGCCGCCAGATTTCGAGGGATATAGCATGATGGAATCTGGGTCGAATTCCTCGTCAGCAACCATCTGGGTGACATGTTCCAAAGGAAGCCAATCAAGAGCGCTGAACCCGTATTGGTTGGCAACCACTCGAGATATGCAGAGACGTTGTCTATCGAAAATCAAGTCCTTTTTCTCGTCGTCACCTGCCTTCTCGATAAGCTTATCGAACTTAAGTTGGACCTTGTCGTAGTCAGAGAGCGATGAGCAAGCAAAGTGCTTCGTCTCAAAGCGCTTGACGGTGTCCGCATCGCCTGATTGAAAGTTCCAACCGTCCAACATGTTATCGCCGCTGACTTCCCAGTAGAAAGGGATCTGGTGTTCATGATACAGACCCCAGATATGTCCAATCTCGTGTGCCATGTTCGCGACGATGTCTCCCATTCCAACAGTAGTGCTGTCTGACAGGTTTGTGTAGGGTCCAAGAACGGCGTTGGGGTCATTTTCATCTGCGGACGCATCGACGACGGGAATACCGTATGTTGACTTCAACACGCCCACATTGTTATAGTGGATACGCAGGACGGAGCCCCGATCGGTGCCAGGTGGGCAGGTGTCATCGCCGACACGTTCGTAGGTGAAACCATGTCTCTCAAGTCCAGGCCATGAGGTCCTGGCTAGATCCCACGCGCCCCTGAACAAGGGACTTGGGGTCTCCACAAAGCAGTATTTGAGTTTCTTATTAGGCCAGATTCGTTTCGCGCTGTTGTCATTCGGCAAGTTTTGGATAGACATAGCACGCTTGACCAGACGCGACGTTGAGTTCAACGTGAGTAGGTCCTCGTAGTACGGTGTGAGGTTTGTCCGCTGGTTCGGGGCCTTGGACTCCCAAAATCTGCTGCCACCGAGAACAGGTTCGGTGTTGAACAGCAACGTAATTGTAATGAGTGTAGAAAAGATATGCATAGTGAGCGAGTCGATTGACGAACGAGTGTAGGAGCAAGTAGGCTGATGGATCGACAAGCAGGTGATGCTGCGTGACTGAGGAAAAGGAACGACTCAAAGATCAACAGAGGAAGGGTATGTGACATCAAAAACCCACATAATCAGAGTGGGATTTGATCCTGGGCCTTGACACTCCGTTTACGTTGCGCGTTTGCCGATCCTGAGTGCTGATAGATCCTCTTTCATCGACTAATAATTTCACGGTTGAATCCCTTGTAAAGGATTGTGTCGACGCCCACATAATTTGTCTACCTGGTCGACAAACCCGGAAGGTGCCAATCCTTTCCGACGGAACCCTGCATCACCTCATCAAAAGTTAAGCTTGGCAATAAAGTGGACGTAAGGAACGCATTCCAACATGCTAAACGGGGAGGATAAAATTGGACCTCCGGTGGCACGGCGGGTTCCTGCAGGTGATCTTGGCGGACTCGGGCTCGCTAGGTAGAAATGATGGCGGGTAGGCTAAATGCAGGTACATGCAAGCTCGCGTCCTGTACCCTGAATTCCACCCTGTTGTTGCCTTCGCTTGCGAAAACCTCCCCGGCTTATACCCTGGTTCCTATCAGATGGTCTTGATGTGGTACGCTGTACTTGCTCTTTGTAGTCGTTGACTATCTTGACTCTCCATAATTGATCTCATGCCCTTGGGTGTCTCGCTAAACCTGACTGTCTTGGTCCACCCGTTCGTTGTATCTCTCGCCTAAGCAGAAAAGATCATCACAGTCCCGCGTCGAGCTCTGGTGTTCAAGGTTCGACTGCGCACTCTGGCTCTTCAACGACTTCACTGATCAGCCGTCCGCAAACCCGATCTCCCTAGAGTTACCATGCATCTTTCTAGCCAGAGTGCGCTTTGCCTGGCTATTGGCCTACTTCTCCGAGTCGCCATTGCCCAAGACCCCAGCCCCGGCGGCGCCACTCATCCCGGTCAGCCTGAGAACTGCAACGGATGGCATACTGTGGCCAAGGACGAGAATTGCCAGATCGTGGCCCAAGCCTACGGCATCTCCGTGGAACAGTTCTTGAGGTGGAACCCCGCGGTTTCCTCTGATTGTCTCAACAACTTCTGGATCGACTCGGCTTATTGTGTGAGTGTGGGGAAGGGCACCTCCAGGCCTGCTACTTCCACTCTTCCTACCTCCACATCCAATTCCAATTCCCGAACGTCTTCTGCCTTCGATAGCACATCCCAGGCATCATTCACATCAACTCCCACGACGGCGACCACCTCTTACAACTCGACATACTCAGTCTTGCACCCTGTTACCTCGTGGAACGTATCGACCACAACTACCGATAAGGTATGGCCACCTACCAAGACGCTCGTGGGGCAGATTGACATCTGCAACGCGTGGTCTCGCGTTGTTCCCGGCGATACATGTCAGCGAATGCAGGTCAAGTTTGGCCTAAAGTCCATCGACGAGTTCCTCAGCTGGAATCCATCGGCCAAGGATGATTGCGAGATGCTCATCGCCGATTACTATGTGTGTGTCGGCGTGCAGAGGCAGACAGGGAATACGGATCTTGTATGGGAGACGGCTCAGCCAGAGTTCACCGAGCCTCCTGAGCCGACACAGTACACACACGTTACAGTGCCCCCGGCCGACTCAAGTTTTGCGCCGATTCCATCTCACGGGCCTTTGCCATCAAACTGTAAGGTTTTTCATCAGGCCACAGCCGATCAAAATTGCAATGATATCGTCAAGCAGTATGGCTACTTCTCACAAGAGCAGTTCTTGTCGTGGAATCCAGCCCTGGACGGCAATTGCTTGGGCCTTTGGCTCGATACTTGGTATTGTGTTGGCGCCTATGCGGATGACAATTTCCCACTGCCCGCACATCAAACGGCGAAACCGACCGAGGGCAACATTCCTCTGGGGTACCCCAACGACTGCGCAAGATGGTATAAGACAACATTCGACGACACATGCGACCTCATCGCTCTCATGTTTGGCAGCTTCAGTGATACCGAGTTCGCGAAGTGGAATCCGACCGTTTTCGGGGATTGTAGCGGTATCGATATGGACGCGTGGTACTGTATAGGTCGCCCAGGCACGGCGACAACGCGGACTCCAGGCGCGCCATCGCCGACGCAAATAACAGAGTCCACGCAACCTACTACGTCGACACAGCCGACGTCCACTACAACAAAGCCGACGCAGCCAGTGCAGACACCGTCGCCTGTCCGCGAGGGCATGGTGCAGAGCTGTATGCGCTTCCACCTCCAGCAGCCAGACGAGTTCTGCTGGGCGATGGCGTCTGGTGCCGGCATATCCTTGGAGTGAGTACTTTCATATCCAGCTTTTTCCCCATTTTCAGCTATTCCTGTACCGTCGCAAACCCCATACTGACATTGTTATACAGCCAATTTTACGAGTGGAATCCTGCCGTGGGCAATGATTGCCAGAACCTTTGGCCTGACTACTACTACTGCGTGGGGCTGTGATCGCTTCGATGGTGCCGAAGACCCAGGAGCAAGCTGTGCCAAACTAGCGCGTTTGGTGTTTATTGGAGAGCGAATTCAGTACCACGAGATTGCCTCATTGCGGTGAAGGTGTCTTGCGGCGCGGTGTTGGCCGACATTTTGGGGAGAAGGTGGATCTGGGCTAGCGGCATGCAGCCTCGGCTAGTTAGATTGGACCCTGAGGAGCTTCCAAAAATCGAGCAGGTGCATACCTAGCACTTTCCCTTGCAACTATGCGCGGCGCTAATGATGTGAAATCCCTTGCAGCGTGCATCTGCTGTCCTGAAGAAGTGTGTGGGCGCTAAGAGAGTGGCTGATGTTTGTACGCTCTTGGCGGCTGTTGCAGGGGCCAAGGAAAAAGAGAGCGGAATGAGCGGCCGCTCCCTTTGTGATGCCAATGCGTTGCCGCTTACAGAGCACGTGCGACACTCGCTTCAGTAAGCGATGGCTACCTATGTACCTAGGTAAGAGCTTGATGCCTTTTCGCCTGACCTCTTCTCCGCCCACCTACCTTGTGGGATCCTAACAATGGCCAAGCTCAGCGCATGGCTGAAGAGGCACATGGGCGTCAAATCGGGCCCCAAAGAACCATCCCCAGACGAGCCACCGTATCTACGCTCTTCGCGACGACCAATCACACCGAGTTCGTCCAACACACCGACCAGCGTTTTCTTCCAGCTGCCGTACGACATTCGGAGTATCATCTTATCGATTGCCTTCGGTGGGCGCATTCTACACCTGGATCTTGTATACCGAGAAGGCACCTGGCAATGGAGGGGTGCTGTCTGCAGACGAAACGACCCACGGATCAAGCCGTCCATGCGGTACGCTTGGAAGGGCCCGTGGGATGAATGGTGCCTACAATGGATGGAGGAAGTCAAACGGAGGAGAACCAAACCAAACCACTCTATCCCTCAACCTGAAGCATATGACGTTGGGATCATGGGTTTCCTGTTGTCGTGCAGCCAGGCCTACATGGAAGGGATCAATGTCTTGTATACTGAGAATCGCTTCAGCATCAACAACGAGCTCCTGCTCCTTCGACTTCCAAGGCTAATTCCGCATAAACGCCTTGCGTCGATTACTTCACTCGAAATAGTGGTCACGGTACCTTGCTCCAAACATGAGAGCCGTCAAACGTCCTGCAGTCAAAATCACCTGAAGACGATTCTTGACAACATTGCCGGGCAATGCGGACACCTCCGGAGCCTTTGCCTATCATTCTGTTGTAACAGCCGCGATCATGAGATACTTCATGGTCCGGCATTGACGTATCTCGACGCCTTCTGGCGCTCGACGCGCTTGCGCGACATGAGGATTGAGCTTCCCACCGACGACTACTGGCCGGCATGGGATGGGGGTCTGCATCCCTACGTTCAGCACCCGCGCGAAAAGCCTAAGCCGGAGAGCACATACCGTGACAGATCGCTGTGGAGATCTCTGGATGACGGAGAGGCTAGCGTACAGTTAAGGTCTATCGAGCGCTATCCGTATCCGCCTCTAAAGATGCCGACCGTAGATGACACTGATGTCAGCGACGAAAGCGCGGGATATTGGCTTGCCCAGGGCTATCAGAGGCCACAGCCTATCGTAGTGTCGAATTGTGGAATTTCGTATTCGGAACAGATGCGTCACGACAACTCAAGTACATAGTTACCTTGTTCCAGAGCAAAATCAAAGTATTTCCCAACGGTAGCAGAATATGTATTTATGGTTTCGTGTCCGATGTCAGATTTGAAGCTTTAGTTGGAAACAAAGCGCGAGCCAATCCCAATCTTACTGGCGCACAGCTCAGCGCGACGCGTCCCGTCTCTTGTCGGGCCGCGAAGCAACGATGCGCTAGCCCCGAGATTCCCAAGGGGTGGCAAACCGTCGCGCTTTGCTTTTGCCGCTACTGACAACCTTCTCGCCCAACACCATACTATCACATTGCCTCGACGATCACGGGAATACAAGTACCTTCAATCGCGTCGGTCGCAATGCAAGATGCATGCACTGGAGGTGCTTGCCTAGGGCCAGGCCGCACGTGGGAGTCTCGCAAAGCTATCCGCGGCGAAGGCAGGCGCGAGCAGCAATTCTACCGGTACACCCGATCATCCATTAGCTGCTTCTCAACCATGTTTCGACAGGACTGATGTTTTCGTAAAGATACTATGGCCCCTTCCGGCAGATGTCTGACTATGGCCCACAATATTGCGACGTGCGCAATCCTGAGGCGAGAGAGAGACACAAGGCCGTCTCGTGCCCCGATAAGATCCTTACAGCATTTTGCCAGCTGGGTGCTATGAGATTGAGGGCCCGACGTTGTTTGATCTTCTTCTTCGATGTCAACCATGCCTACATCATGGCCGAGGCGACACAAACGCTATCACTCGTAGATGATGCGATCCACGAACCCGGAGATGAGATGTGGATGGGTCACTCTATCATTCCCCGCGATGTTGCTTGTTGCGAGACGACCGTCAATCTTCCTTCGTTTCCCATCTCTAGTGCTGCAGACGGCGACATCCGGAAGAGCGCCTTCGTGGTAAACGACTTGACCAAGCATCCGGACCTTTCTACCAGGCCGTACGTCACTGGCTTTCCCAACGGCCGCTTCTACGCAGGTGTGCCCATCACAACACCATCTGGAGTCAACATTGGTGCATACTGCATCCTCGACGACAAAGTTCGCAATGGAATCTCGCAAAAAGATCTCAGCTTCTTGGGCGACATGTCGCAAACTGTTATAAACCACCTCGAATCTGTGCGTGCTCTCTCAGAACGGCAACAAACCAATCGCATGGTGGCAGGTCTTGGAGATTTTGTTCGAGGAACGTCGGGTGCCGCTCGCAAAGCGTCGCCCGCAATTGATGTGCCTGTGAAGAACGGCGGCGTCGGAGTTCAGATAGCTTACTCAGGTCAGTTTCGCTCGCCCGAGGCCTTGATGGACCCCACAAGTACTCCCGCTATGACGCCTTCGCAGTCGGTAGGAGTCTCCTTACCCGCTCAGGATGAGAACAGCTCATCGACCGGCAACGCGCAGGTATCTGAGAACCCCACTTTTCATCATCATCAGCGATCGAGCGACTATAGCGGAGCTCCCCGGCTAACCGATCGGAAACATGCGTTGCTCGATCCACATGTGCGGACAAACACCGTGAATATACCGAAACATTTTTCTTCTCCAGCAGAAGGCTTCACAACCCATCCACAGCCTCGTCGGCGTGAAGATGCCGACGATCCCAGTAGTACGTATCAACGTGCTGCGGAAATTCTTTGCCAATCACTCGAACTAGACGGTGTCGCCTTCCTCGACGCCTCTGTCCGAGAATTTGGCGGACTGAGCGATTCACAAAATGCGGAGTCCAATGAGGGGAGTAACGCTGACAGCGATGATTCGGCTGTCATTCTTTCACATCCTGACCCTACAAATGAGTCACAAACCGAACATGCAACCGCCTGCCAGGTGCTAGGCTTTGCACAAACAACGCGAAACCACAGCATGGGAACAAGACATCCGACGGGTGAGCCTCCCACGAAATTGACGGAATCGTTCTTACGCAGGCTCATGCGTCGTAATCCGCTCGGAAGAGTTTGGAAGTTTGACGAAGACTTCAGAATCTATTCCGAAGACGATGTTTCTTCGGACGAGTCTGGAGCGGGTGTCAGTGCTGCGGGAACACGCTCATCAAGCAATGAACAACGCAAAACCCATCGTCAAGATCGACGAAATGATGGAGATATCCTGCAGGGTGTATTTCCTGGATCACGTTGCATAGCGCTCAATGGGATATGGGACTACACCAAAAAACGGTGGGCGGTTGCGGGTCTCTACTGGACGTGTGATCCACTCAGGAATATCGCCAAAGACACGGAGATGCAATTCGTCGATGCTTTCTGTGACATTATCGTTGCCGAAACCAAGCGTCTGGAGGTATTGGGCACCGACAAAGCCAAGTCAGACTTCATTTCGACTATATCTCACGAACTTCGCTCTCCACTACATGGTATATTGGGCTCGTGCGAGTTACTAGCGGAGCAGACGTTGGACGATATAGCTACGTCCTTTGTCGAACAGATCAACTCCTGCGGACGCACCTTGCTCGATATCATCGAACATCTTCTGGATTTCGCAGATCTCAAGAGCCGGCGTTTGAAGAAAGGTGCTGTGAAAAGTTCAAACATCAGCCAGAAGCTTCTTCCACCAACCACGAGCTCTACTACCGACGATCTGAAAGCGCTAGATATGAACATAGCACTTGATGACTTGACCGAGGACGCCGTTGTATCGACCGTATACTCCTTCTATTACGGACAAAATGCGAAAGATCACACTCATCCACCGGTCATTCTCGACATCGATCGATCCGACGGCAGGCCTTGGCATTGCAGCTTAGCCACAGGCGGCTGGAAGCGCGTTTGCATCAATCTCGTCACCAATGCACTCAAATACACGCCTTCCGGACATATACGGGTCTATCTAAAGCAAGAGCCGAAACTGGGATCGCGGCGACGCTTTGACGCTGTGCTTACCGTTGCCGACACCGGAAAGGGCATGTCGAAGAAGTTCCAGAGCGACCGTCTCTTCCATGACTTTGCTCAAGAGGACACATTGTCTGATGGTCTAGGCCTGGGTATGCACATAGTCTCCAGGATTGTGTATGCAATGGGTGGTAGTATCGAAGTCGTAAGCGATCAAGATGGGACAGGTACTTGCTTCACTGTACGGGTGCCGCTCGAGGATCATCCGAATGGCGAGCGTCGCATTGGGACTTTAAACGGAAGTAACATCACCCCGAAGGCCTTCGAAAGCATCAAGGTTGGTCTCGTGACGGGACT